GAGGGGCCCAAGTTGGGGGCAACCCCCTGGGGTGGGTGATGCTGAGTGCCCCCCCGCCACTGGGCCCTGGTTAATGCATGCGGGATGCAAGGGTCGCGGCGCGCAGAATTTGTGCAGCCTGGGGTGTTGGCCTGTGTGCTTACCCTAGGTGCATGATCTACTGAGTAACGTTCTGGCGGAGGGGGAGCAGGGCAGGGCTTTGCAAAGCAGACTGGATGAGTTGATTAAGAGAGCTGACTTATTCGCTGGAATTACTGGAGAAGAGAAAGGTTTGGCTAAAGAGGTTGGAAACAGAGCAAGGGGATTGTAGATGAAACATCCCCTTTCCTTCCTCTCCCACACACGCACACACATAGGCTAGCAGTTTACATCTTTGTAAATCTGAATTGGTGGTAGTGGTAGTGGAAGGAGTGAATAAGGGGCCTAACCTGGCTAGCTTTCTGTTTGCCTTTCCTGTAGATGGTCCAGCAACAGGTGTTTCCTTAAAAAAAGCATGAACTTGTATTGAGGCTTGACTGCGAGTTCGTGCAAAATATAACTGCTCCTTGTTGACTTGGAAGATGCTGGATATGAGGCCTCTCAATGGGGTTTTGGAACCTTAGGGGTGGATTTTGCAACGGATAGTGCCCATCATTGCCTCTGAGAGGTTTCTGGCTGCTTCAATGGCATGTACTCTTGTCAGACATTTCATCAGTCTCTCTGCTGAAGGGCAGCAAGACATGAATCCAATTGGCTAAAAGACTGTACTCTATTTGAACTATAGTAGGTTGTGATTGGCTGAATGATTTTTTGATTGTAGAGTTTCTTCCAGAAATTGGCTTCATCAAATTCTGCTTTATTCTGACTTTATCATACACAGCATGCCTTGTTTTAGTGGGTTCCTGCTTGGAGCTTAAGTATATTATACCTGAATCCCCTACCATTTAAAAGCCAATTTATAGACAGGGACTTGGAGTGTGACTCCACTAATGTGTGTCTGTGATCTTGGTTAGAAACCCACTTGACTGCCTTTAGGCAGGAGGTGGGGAAGGGGGGAAGGGAGCTGCTGGGAAGTGATTGATAAGGTTTCCTTTATGGATTTTGTGGTGCTTCACTGGAGCTCAGAGCACTTTGGCAACTTAAGCACTCCAAATTAAAAACTCATTAACAATTCTTGCCCAAAGATCCTGTAAATAATCAGCTAGCTAGGTCATAGAGCTTGGCTAAGAGCTCTTCCAACTTGAAATTTCTAAATAAAAGTGCTTTTATTCCCTTTCATTTTGAAAAGTGTTTTCTTTGTGGTGGGGTAAATTGGTGAGTGGCCTTTTCCAAAGGAATCTGAATAGAATAGAGTCTTAAATGTGTAGAGTGGTAGACGGGAATATATTGGTTCCATTCCTAGGTGTTTTTTTTTCTTTGTGCAAAGGACATCAGTAATCAGTAGCTTACAAGGGCATCTGTGCAGCTTCTAGGCCTTTGGAAGATCTGAATTAATTGATAAGTATGATGGATTTTTATTGATGTTTTGACTTGTCATTTAGTTACCTTGACTTTTGAAGAACTTGAGGCAGACTTGGAAATATCCTGAAAGTGTTTCCTGGTCTGTGTGGCCATTTGCAATATGGCCTGTGGGTTTGTGGCAATGAATACCTCCCCTAGTCCTGGTCAAGCCTTAGTTCCCCAGTTCTGAATATTGTCAGCCTTACCAGTGTCTTCCTCTTTGACTAGAGTAGGATTCTGAAATTATCCAGAGAGCCACCACTTCATGGCCATCTTTCTTAGTCTAAGCTCAGATATGGTAAATGTTTAGTGTTTTTAGAAGGTAAGCCACCTTAGGAGGAAAAGTGCTAGAGAATACACTAGAGAACATGAAAATCATTACAAAAACAAATTTATACTCATAACTCCTGAAAACTCCATAGGGGCACTGTCTTTCCATAAAGCTAGCTGTTATTTCAAAGTTTGAGTTCAGGAGTTTAAGATGTGGTGTAATCCTTAATGGGAATTTGATCCTTTGTATTGAAATAGATTTGTTGCAGAGATGTGTATTTGTCCACAGCATTGGGGCTTTCCAGCTGTCACAGAACCTTCACCATCCCCAGCTGCCAGTCTTGGCATCTTCGAAGTAAGGAGAGGTGAGAATCCTGTTGCATGGTCAAGTTTTGACTTGACTTCCTTCTGAGTATTTGGGCTTGGAGGGTAGGTGGTGGGGCTGGCACAGATTGTATTTTTCTGTAGCTTCTTCTGATAAGACAGCATATGCTCAAAGCCTATTGAAAGTTACCCAAAGTCTAAAGTGATGAGAGTTGAAGCAAGGGATCCAGATTCCAGAGTCTCAAGTTCTGTCATGATTTCTTTTCTTTTTTTTTTGAGTTGGAGTCTCACTCTGTTGCCCAGACTGGAGTGCAGTG